AAACAATTAACAAGTTGGTCCTTCGAGCCAGATCTTTCGGCATTTTTGCGTGGATCGCGAGATCTGATGCGGGATCGGTGTGCAAATTCGAAGCAGTTATATAAATTTAACGACGATTAAGACAAAAATTGTAAGTCCGTTCTAAATATACGTCTGTTTTGTTATTGCTTTAGATAATAACGCACGATATATCAGTAGAGGAACCAATTCGGGTGCTTCACTTACATATTAATTGTTTACCTTGTAACAATATCCGTATTTACAATGTCCGTACAGGAATTAACGAAGAAACGAACTATTATAAAAACGAAGGTTACAACGTTCCAGACATTCTTGAAAAAGCTTGATATAGATACGTCCAACGCTCAGGAATTACCATTAAGGTTAGAACGTGCGGAGAAATTGTTATCCGAGTATGATGAGGTTCAGTCACACATCGAAGAGTTGACCGATGTAGATACAGAGGAACGTACGAAATTCGAGGATACATTTTACGCTACAATACTTTTAGGAAGGAACACAGCGACTAGGTTAAGTCCGAGCACGTCAAAGGAATTAACAGCGCCGGCAGCTATCGATATTACAACACATATAAATTCATTGTTAAAATTACCTGATTTAAAGTTGCCGACTTTTAATGGTGAGTACGATCAATGGATCACGTTTCGCGATACATTTGAAGCTATTATTGATTCTAATACAAGTTTGTCAAAGATTCAAAAGTTTTATTATCTGCAGTCAGCAGTTAAAGGTAATGCTGCGCAATGCTTTCAATCGCTTGTCGAACGAAAATTATGATGCTGCGTGGACATTATTAAAATCGCGATTTGAAAATAAACGATTAATAGTACATCACCATATCCAAGCGGTCTTTGAATTGCCAGTTCTCACAAAGGAATCTTGCATCAACATGAGAAAATTAATTGACGACATACAACAACACACGGTTGCATTAGAAAAGCTCGAACAATCGGTTCAGTCCTGGGATACATTGTTAATTCATTTGCTCACGCCTAAACTCGATGTTAAGACAAAACGAGAATGGGAATTTAAAAGAGAATTTTCGGAACTACCAAGTATGAAGGAATTCATCGATTTTCTGAATAAACGTTGTTCAATTCTCGAGACATTATTGTCTAACCAATTAAAGGATACTTCATCGGCTAATACGAAATCGCAGAAAAAATCTGTAAGTTTAACTGCGCAATCTTCCGTCGAGAAGCAATGTCCACTATGCAAAAACTCACATTGGCTATATGCATGTCCATCATTTCGTAAATTATCGAGCAACGAAAGATTGCGAGAAGCGAAACGATTGAAAGTTTGCTTGAATTGTTTACGTTCTCATCCTGAACGTGAATGTACTTTCGGTAGTTGCCAACGATGTAAGCGTCGACATAATACAATGTTACATCTTGACAATGATAATTCACAGATTAAATCAATCGATAATGAACAAAGGGAAGTCCCAAATAAGAAAACCGAAGACGATTCTGTGGTACGAACTAGCACTACTGCCACGACGTCGCATTGTACCAATAAAGGTGTAGTGCACTCTCTGTTATCCACAGCAATAGTTCTTGTACGCGATCATAACGGTTACTATCAAGAATGTCGAGCCTTACTCGATTCCGCGTCTCAGAGTCATTTTATGACAGAGGAGTTATGTTTACAACGATTACAATTAAATACTTTTAAAACAAATCATTTAATTAATGGTATCGGTCAAACAAGCGTTTTTGTGAATGACAGAGCCACTACCGTTATGAAATCAAAATATAACGAATATAATACAGAATTATCCTGTTTCGTAGTAGATTCGATTACTGGTACGCTACCGCCAGACAAATTCGACGTATGTCAATTCACGATTCCCAAGAACATTTTACTAGCTGATCCGAAGTATAATATTCCTGCTAAAATTGATTTGTTAATCGGTGTTACACTGTTTTATAATTTACTGCAGGAAAGGCGCATCAGTTTAGACAATAATCAACCGGTATTGCAAGAAACTAAGTTAGGTTGGATTATTGGTGGCGCATTCGTGCCCTGCAGGTCCTCGAGTCAATGTAACATTTCACAAAGTTATTTATCGCTGAACTCACAAATCCAAGAACAGCTCGAGCGTTTTTGACAACTGGAGGAAGTTACAAAATCAAAGCCTTATACTAAAGAAGAGCAGCTATGCGAGGACAATTTCGTGTCAACCCATCAACGTGATGAAAATGGAAGATTCATCGTGCAATTGCCACTGAAGAGTCCAATATCATCACTCGGAAAGTCGCAAGAAATTGCGGAGAGACGTTTACGGTCCGTAGAAAGAAAACTTCACAAGGATGTAAAGCTAAAGGAGGCATACATCAGTTTCATGCAGGAATACGAGCGATTGGATCACATGAGTGAAATAAGAGAAGCCGAAGACAAAGCTGAACATGCGAATTACCTTCCACATCACGCAGTCGTTAAGTCAACAAGCAGTACTACCAAAGTACGGGTAGTTTTCGACGCATCTTGCAAGACGACTTCAGGCAAATCACTCAACGATATATTACTCGTGGGACCGACCATTCAGAACACCTTATTCAATATTATTTTACGTTTTCGACAGTATACATACGTTATTATGTCTGATATTCATAAGATGTATCGGCAAATCTTGCTACAACCCAACCAAAAGGATTTACAACGAATTCTATAGAAGAAACCTTCTGGAACAGTCCAGACTTTTCGCTTGAATACTGTTACGTACGGATTAGCAAGCGCACCTTTTCTTGCCATAAGATGTTTACATCAATTGGCTTTGGAATGCCAAACTAATTTGCCTAAAACCAGTGAAACAATTAAGCGGGATTTCTACGTCGATAACTTGATAACCGGCGGAAATGATTTAAGTCAATTGAAGATTCTGAAGGAAGATATTACTAACGTTCTACGCAGCGGATGTTTTGAGTTATATAAATGGAATTCGAACGAAAAATCAATACTCGCTGCTGAGGAGGAAGAAGCGACAGATTCAGTAAACTTTGATAAAGAGGTAAACACTTTAGGCCTTATATGGAATACGAATTCGGATATCTTCCAATACAGGATCAATGCGAGGACTCAGCCATCAAAATTAACGAAAAGAGTCATATTATCCATTGTTTCGCAGATTTTCGACTCGCTCGGTCTGATCGGACCGATAACAATACAGTCCAAACTTTTACTTCAAGATCTTTGGCGTCTCAAGATTGATTGGGACGATCCAGTTCTCATCGAATTACACTCAAAATGGTCATATTTTCAAGACCAAATACGGTACATTCCTGAAATATTAACTCCTCGACATGCATTTAGTAAGGAATATAACACTATGGAGGTACACGGTTTCTGCAACGCTTCAGAAATCGCATATGGTTGTTGCATTTACATCAAAACTATAAATAGTAGCGGAGAAGCAACGGTTAATCTATTATGTGCAAAATCAAAGGTTGCACCATTGAAAAACGTCTCGTTACCAAGATTAGAACTATGTGCAGCCCTCTTGTTAGCCAAATTATATCGACAAGTCATGCAAGCATTAACAATAACTCCTGACTCGACATACTTGTGGAGTGACTCCACAATCACACTCGCCTGGATAAAGGGTGAACCATCACGATGGGTGCAATTCGTTGCAAATAGAGTCACAGAGATCCAGCAATTAACCGTCCAAGGAAGATGGAATTATGTAAATTCAAAAGAAAACTCTGTTGATATTATATCAAGGGGAATGAACCCAACTCAATTAAAGGCCTCTCATCTGTGGTGGAATGGTCCTGATTGGCTAAAGACGACGGATTGGCCTCTTCCTAAGGAAACCACCAATATTAGTGAGGATCTTCTCGAGGAGCGAAAGTCCACAAAGATTTTCCATAGCCAAGTAAATGATAGTGACGAGTTGTTCTTGAGATTTTCATCTTTGACAAAGTTAAAACGAGTGATAGGATATTGCTTACGATTCAAACAGAACGTGTTGCAGCCTGACTTGAGGACTGTAGGACCGTTGGCAGTAGCAGAATTAAAGAATGCAATGACGGTTTTAGTCTCATTAGCGCAGCATCGCGATTTTATCAATGATATACGAAGTTTAAAATCGTGCGGTCAAATAAGTAAAACAAGTAAGTTACGTTCATTAGTTCCGTTCCTGGACGGCCACAACGTGATGCGAGTTGGTGGTAGGTTATCGAACGCACCTATTCCTTACGCTCAGAAATATCCAATTATCTTGCCGTCAAAACACCCACTAACTCGATTGATTATTGTACACGAGCATTACAAGCATTTACATGCGGGCCCTCAAGCTCTATTGGCAGCAATACGCGTACATTTTTGGCCACTTCATGCTCGATGCACCGTGAAGGATGTACTACGAAAGTATATCGTTTCTTTTCGAGCTAAACCTCCAATGTTACAGCAGCGGATGGGTGATTTACCAGCAACACGTATTATGACAAGTCGTCCGTTCTTAAACACGGGAATCGATTACGGTGGGCCTTTTACTATAAAGATATCACGAAACAAGACTGATAAGGCACATATATGTATCTTCGTATGTTTCACTACGCGTGCTGTACATCTAGAGTTGGTGGTAGATTTAAGCACTCTGGCTTTCATCAGAACATTGCAAAGGTTTATAGCACGTAGAGGTAAATGTGCGAATCTCTATTCAGATAATGCGAAAAACTTCGTTGGCGCGAACAACGAGCTGCGAGAAGTTGGTGAAGTTCTGCGAAATCCAGAACATCATGCGAAGATATCGGATTTTTTGGTAGAAAATTCGATCAACTGGAATTTAATCCCTCCACATTCGCCTCACATGGGAGGACTATGGAAAGCCGCTATTAAGTCCGCTAAAACTCATCTGCGAAAAATCATTCGAACGACGCCTCTTAGTAATGAGGAATTATATACGCTGCTGGTACGAATAGAAGCCTGCCTCAATTCGCGACCTCTCTGTCCATTGACAGATGATGGTATAGATTTAGCTGCATTAACACCAGCTCATTTTTTGATCGGCGTGCCTTTGACTTCATTTCCAGAAGTAGATGTATCCAATGAACCAGTCAATCGTTTAACCAGACACCAATTGACACATAATTTATACTGTTCATCATCAATATCTATATCATCGTCAATTATATGTAGATGATCTTGCAAGTCTTCGTCTTGCAATGCCGGCGGGATGTTTAATATTTATTATAATTTCAGTTATAATTTTCAGTTACGATTATTTTCTTGTATTAATAGCGAATCATTTGCTGTGATGTAAATTTAGTTTGAAAACCGCACTTAAAAGTTCAGCGCCTTCTACCGGATCTAGCGTGAAGCAGAGAAGAAGGAAACGCGACCACCGCGGCCATGATACAACTACGTTTTTGTTTTCATTGTTAGACGGTTGAGTTTTGTAATGGACACCGATCACGTGTCGATCTGCGTTTCGTAGTTACTACGTTTAGTATACTGAGTTATCAAATAAAGATATTTTGTTAGAGAATATCCGTGTATCATTGCATAAAACAAACAATTAACAATGTAGGAAGCGTATATATTCCGTTTCTAAATTTTTATTTTGTTCGCGCGCTTCCGGCTATGGCGATATATGCTAGAATATCAGCGCGCCTGCGCAAGGAGAAAAAGGTAAAGGAAGGTTAGAGCGGAAGAAGGAGGCAGTCGAAGAATGGATAGTAACAGCTAAGAAGCGTGAACGATTAGTGTATCTCTCCTGAATTGTTACCCAATAAATATTGGCTCACCAAACATTCCATCATTGGAATCATCTTATTTCCTACATATATATGTATGTAACTTAATTGTGTATGGTACTAAATTACTATAAAATATACATACTTGATAATTTAATGTAAACTGTAACGCAATGTCAGTTTATTATTTTGAATTATTTGTAAGATTGTAGATTTTTTAAAAAATAAGATGAGATCATTTTTACGTCAATCAAATGATCCTAATTTTACACACACATCAAATAATAGAGAATACGGAAATAACCGATATGTTTTACTGAATACTGTAATCTGACCGAATACTCCGACAATTTATGTAATGTTATTTGTGTTTTAAATATCCTTTATATTGTAACTGGCTCGTAACCCTTCTTTTATTTATTGATTTAGTCAATTTTACTTTAAGTGCTTCAAAAAGTTTGTCATTAATGCAAGGCACAACGTCCCACGTTTGTGTAAATAATTGTAGAGAACGTACTGAAGGCAATGCAATTGTTTTCTTCAATTCTCTATAATTTCTTGGACTTAAAAAATACAATGACAAAGCGAATTTTTTTAAATCACGATCGTATCTTCTGCCACGTTTGTTTTTGCATTGTGCATTAATTTATGCTGCTAATATTTTATTAAAACTCTATGGTAATAACTTACGGCCTAATTTTTGTAAAGTTTTTTGTTCATTAGTTTCTTTTTTGGCTTGTATGTTCTTCTTTTCTTTCAAACGGAGTCGTCGGATTGTTTCACAGAGCGTTTTATTTTGTGCCTTCAATTTTACGATCTTCAAATGCAGCTTCTTTTTCCTTGGGCTATCCTCCGACGATTTCATGTCCTGTTTTGTATCATTGGATGTACTTCTGTAACAAGTTTAAATTTATATAAGATATTGAGAAAAAAGGTTTATTATTCTAACAGAAACAAATAGTAAAAGATTACTAAATAAAATAATTAAATGTTAATATGGCTCAATTAGAATAAATCAATAAATAAAACAAGGGTAAACGAGCCAACTACAATATAAGATCTTTAATAAACGTATATATATACAATAATCAAACGTTTCGACACCGATCGGGTCATTTTCAATGTACAATAACAAAACATCTTACATACATAATCAGAAATTCAGTTAAAATATGATGTCCAGTAAGAATTTGGTTATATTCATAAAAAGCAGTCCATATTTAAAACTATTGAAGAGATCAAAACTCATTCTACCATCTGGATAAATAATAAATTAACGTTGCGTTATAAATTAGATAAACGATGTACATGTTTAGTAAAATAGATTAGAGAGAATGTAAATTAAATAAAACATATATACCTCATATTGTCTCAATGATGTAATGTAGACAACGATAGGAACACTCAGTTAACAAAAATATATTTTAAAAAAAGTTATGTATAATAAAAATTATTAAGCCATGATGCGCATGAATATAGCGTTTAGACTCAATCGACGTCAAGCGACATTATGACAAAAAGAAAACAAGGAAATAGGAAAGATAATAAAGAAGGAGACAAGGACATTGTTAGGAGGGGGAAAGAGATTGGATAATATTTAGGTATGATTCTGGCAAGGATTCTGTGTCATTTTGTTTATTTAGCCCATGCGTTTGTCGTTTTATGTGAACCATCTCCGATATCAATCTCTTATTAAACGAAGCTTCTCTGTCTAATATTTCCACATTATCCCAGTCGAAATTATGATTCTGGTCAATGCGATGACAAGTGATGACTGTTGGGGATTTTGACTTCTTATTGATATCGGAGACATGTTCGTGCAATCTTGTCTTTAATTGTCTTTTGGTCTGACCCACGTAACTGGCTTCACAATCATCACAAGAGATCTTATAAACTACATTTTGATTAAATAAGGGATCTAGCTGATCTTTACCCTTTTTTATGAATTTATTTAATGAGTTTGGTATCGAGAAGGCCATTTTACAATGACACATATTGGCTAATGGAGCAAACTTTTCCGACACCGAATTCACATAAGGAATCGTAAAAAATTTTTCTCTTATCTTTTTGTCAATCATTCCATTTTTATTGATGTGAAACTTTATTCTTTGCTATATTCATGCGCATCATGGCTTAATAATTTTTATTATACATAACTTTTTTTAAAATATATTTTTGTTAACTGAGTGTTCCTATCGTTGTCTACATTACATCATTGAGACAATATGAGGTATATATGTTTTATTTAATTTACATTCTCTCTAATCTATTTTACTAAACATGTACATCGTTTATCTAATTTATAACGCAACGTTAATTTATTATTTATCCAGATGGTAGAATGAGTTTTGATCTCTTCAATAGTTTTAAATATCGACTGCTTTTTATGAATATAACCAAATTCTTACTGGACATTATATTTTAACTGAATTTCTGATTATGTATGTAAGATGTTTTGTTATTGTACATTGAAAATGACCCGATCGGTGTCGAAACGTTTGATTATTGTATATATATACGTTTATTAAAGATCTTATATTGTAGTTGGCTCGATTGCCCTTGTTTTATTTATTGATTACTAAATAAAATACAAAATTATAATATGAAGAAATAAAATGTATTATGTTAATGTATGTTAGCGTGCAATATGTTGCATATTCTAGTACACAAACTTTATTTTATTTAAAAACATTAATACCCTTGAACTCTTTAAGGCCCAGACATAGATTCTGTTTGAGTAAAATTTTTTTCTTTAAAATATAATCTTTAAAAATGTTCCTTATAAAGAATTTTGTGAATCAAATAAAATTGTTTTTTTGAAGGTACATTCATATTTATATATACACTCCAGCTACAGAATTCCAATTAAATACTTAAATTAATAATAAACATGAAAAATCAATCTTGTACTTTAAGAAGATAAAAAAATAAGAAATTATAATACTAATCGTTTAGATATTTTCATGAATAATATGTTACACAAAAGTGTCAGTGAATTTGCTGTGCAAACAATCACTATAGTGGCTTGTTTAGTGAGAATACTATTATTTTTTAAGTTGAAACGACAATTCTAATTGCAACTAGTAAGTGTGAATTAAGAGTATTATACCGACAGGTATAATATTCTTAATTCACACTTACTATGAATTCACTACTGTGTCTGTGATGATCCGGTGGGATTAATGATAACGTTCGGATATTAACGTAAATAAAATATTTATTGATGATAATAATTGATGATATAAATGTGTACGCAGGAAGCAATAATACGAAAGCAAAAAGGGACGATCTTACAAGAATAGAATACATATATTAGAGAGAGGAAAACCAACGCACAAAACATACTACTAGGGCGCCACCTAACATAACTAAAATAACTAGCGCCATATATCACATATCCTCCTCAATCAAATAAAAAAATACAAAAAAAAATAATTAATGCCTTTATTCTATTCTATAGATTAAGTTTCTCGACCGGTTTAATCCTTCTTTTAGACTTAACATTAGTAACGCTAATCTCAGCGTTTTCTTCTTCTTGAACAACATCTCGCTTATTTTCATTTCGAAATTCTTTCGCAATTTCTTCTTTCCTTTGCTTCAAATAAGCTTCTTCCTCACTATAAAACTTTCTCATTTTAACAATTTGTTCTGTGTCTTTTCCATGCTAACCCTTCCTCATCCAACGTTTTACATAAATAAGTTCTAACGCCTAACTTATCCTTAATAATTGCTTTCGCCATGTTGGCTTCGTTAGACACTTATAATCTTTCACATATATCAAGTCTCCTATTTCAAACTCGATTTCTCTATTTCCTCTAAAATATTGCATGTGTTTTTCTCTAGCCTTTTCTCTTTCCGATCTGGTCAACAAACTCAATCTAGTTCTCATTTCGCGACCCAATATTAACTTAGCTGGACTCTCCTATACTAGTATGTGGTGCATTTCTATATGATGCTAAATATCTATTAATTAATGTAGTTGTACTCACTGACGCATTTCGCTTATCTGCTAACGCTTTTAATAGCCCACGCTTAAAATTCCCTACCGCATTTTCTGCCAAACCGTTAGTGGTAGGATGATAAGGAGCTGATGTTCTATGGTTAATTCCATTGTTCCTACAAAACTTAGCGAATTCCTCCGACACAAATTGTCTGCCATTATCTGAAAATATCATTCGCGGAAGACCAAAATGAGCGAAACACTTTCTTAGCCTTTCAATAGTCCCTTCTGCATTCGTGTTAGACATTTAAAATACTTCCGGCCACTTTGAAAACGCATCAATTACAACTAAATAAGTTTTATCTTTAAAGGGTCCCGCGAAGTCAATATGGATTCTATCGAATGGAAATTCCGCTTCTGGGAACTTGATTAACGGTGACTTACTAGGATTACTGGCCACGGTTCTATACTTTGCAATCCTTAACATAACTCTCTATTTCTTTATCAATTTTAGGCCACCAAAAGTATTGCCTTGCTACTGCTTTCATTTTTGCAATTCCTAAATGAGCTCCGTGTATCTCTTCTAATAGAGCTTTTCTAAATTTACCACGGTACCAATGGTACACGACACAATAACTCTATATCCCCACATAAGGAGTTCACTTTCAATGCTAATTTCATCCGCCTTATTCGCAAACTCTTTTACATCCTCGCTAGTTTCTTTCGGCCATCCATTCCTCGCATATAAATATACTTTACTTAATGTTTTGTCTTTTCTTAATTCTTTTCTTTTTTTTGAAAATAATCTTCAACTTCCACCTCTTTAACTTTATCTGTTCTAGGCAGTCTAGATAGGCCATCCACTCCATCATTATTGGTGCCTTTAATGTGCTCAAATTTGTATCTAAAACCATTTAAAAACAAAGCCCATCTCTGTAGTCTGCCCGCAGCCATTTGCGGAATACCTTTGTGCTCTCCAAACAAAGCAATTAACGGTTTATGATCTGAACACAAAATGAATTCATTACCCATTAAGTACTGATAAAATTTATTCGCGGCCCAATAAATAGCTAACGCTTCCTTATGTATTACCGAGTAATTCTTTTTTGCTTCATGCAATATTCTGGACGCGAAAGCAACCGGTTTTTCTGTACCGTTTGGCAAAATGTGCAACAAGACCGCTCCTATGCCTACCTCTGACGCATCACAGACTAGTTTAAGCTTCCATTCTTTATTGAAATGTACTAGATTCCTGTCTGAAACTAATTCGTTTTTAATTTTTTTAAACACTTCACACTGCCTCGTCTATTTAAATACCTTATTGCCTTGGAGCTCATACAAAGGTGAAAGTATTTGCGATAAATTTGGTATAAACTTACCATAATAATTAATCATGCCAATAAAGGCCTTAACTTCCGCTTTATTTTTTGGCTTAGGCGCTTCTACTATAGCTGCTATTTTTTTAGGATCTTTATGTAATCCTTCCTTATTAATAACATGCCCTAAATATCTAATTTCAGGTTGAAAAAATACTGATTTTTAAAAATTAATTTTGAATCCTGCCTCTGAAAGACGTTTATCAGGTATGTAAATATGAAACCGGAATTTACCAATAGATGGCCATAGCTGTCAATGTAGTTGCCGTCAGACCGCGTCATTGACGTCATTTCCTTGTTCTGACATCTGACAAAAATTTTCAACTCACAACAATACAAGTTTCATACAACAGTATAGTTTGTAATAGCGTTGAACATGTCGAATTTTGTGCCTGGAAACTATGATTTGCGGACAGCATTGATTTTCTGTTACCATTTGAAGAAAACTGCTGCAGAATCGCATCGAATGCTTGTCGAAGCTTACGGTGAGCATGCTCTTGGTCAATCACAGTGCTTTGAGTGGTTTAAAAAATTCAAAAGTGGCGATTTTGACGTGAGAAACGAAAAACGTGGAAAA